CGACATGCACGAAACCTTAGTCAGGCAAATCTTCTAGCAGACTACTTCCAGCCATCTAATACCAACAATTCAAAGTGTACCGAGTCACCTAGTGGCATAGTGGACACATCGCATACTTGACTGATAGAATTCAGTCTGCATTAAACAGAAGGCTAAACCCACATTAGACTAGTTACTAACTAGTCTAGTATCAAATCAAAGGGCTTTCGAGTATATTGAATAACAGTAGTTATCAGGCTGAATTTATGATGCAAAGCCTAAAAAACGCGTTACTAATAGATAGACATACCAGTGAAATTTGAGCAGTCATCCCTTTTCCTAAACGTGTACTCAGATTCATAGAACTATATACTACTTATTGATTGAGATGAGTAGTTTTATACCACTCACATCAAACAGTGATGTTTGTTAACCAAATTAAAGTAATGTACACACACACACACACACAAGACAGCAGCTTCGCTTGTTTGGAGCTGAGTTCATCAGTGGTGTAAATTTCGCTTCAGTGTTTCAGTGGTAGACTGTTCGCCGATGGTGGACGTTGCTTGGGGATCTGATTCCAGCCGATGCACTCTTAAAACCTCCCCTAGCCATTAATAACCTCGGAGAACGAAGTTCGGGCGTTAGAACAACAAATCCACCCCCCCCCCCCAAAAAACAGATCATTACTAGTGGAACTTCAGAGATCAACCTTGAAACTTTATCTTACACTTGGAATGCATAAGAATAAAAACGATTTATAAAGTTAACCTTCTGGTAGTTGAACTTTTTGAAATATGACTACTATTCATGTAATAAGTGAGGATAAGTGAGGGTGAAATGAAAATAAAGGCCTCCCGGTAATGTAATGCCCTTGGTAGACCACTTGACTAGGAATTTAGAGGTCACTGGTTTGAATCCTTCCGCGATTCTGATTTTTATTTTATCTCTGGTTATCAATCATTATTATTCCCTTGGGTTCCGAGTAGAACATAGGGATTCAATAACACATCTCCACTTTGTTCTATTATTTGCTACCCTCTTCAGCTGGGTCTACGATTGGCCATAATCTCCCATCTCCTCGAACGTCCCACTCATCCATCGCTTCCCATTCGGGCTGCACTCCAGCGATGGCCTGCATTGATCACGATGTCAGTCTCGACAGTCTCCTCAACACATGCTGAAACCATCTCCATTTTCTTCTACGTGTTTGTTGAACGATAGGTCACTCATTATCATTTTTCATTTATTTCCTTCACATTCCCAGTAGAACATAGGGCCTCAAGCTGGAGGCTTGAAGTTTCTGCAGCAAAATTTATTTTACAGAATTGGGTTGCTAACCTCATGTCCAACCATCCCTCTTTACCAGTCTTACTATTGGATAAGTGAAGTAAAGGAATGCATCGCCGGTGATCGAACCCTAGACCATATGCATGGTAGGAGAGCATGCTAACCGTTGTGCCACCGACACAAGTTGTAAGTTGTACAATATTCCTATCTATTAGATTTGACAATTAATAGGTGACATTTAAATATAATCCTTGTCTGAGTACACTATCTAATCACAAGGTTTTTACCTCGAGTTCGTTATAATCGGTACTAACACATTAGGTAGAGTACTAATCAGGGTTACCCAAGGAAAGCGAGGTTTTTAGGTGCTGACGTTAAGGACTATCTAGAGGTTAACATCGGGACTTACAAGCCTATCACTGAAAACTCCAATAAGGAATTGGGCGATATTTTTGAGACATGCACGAGGATGTTATTCGGCGTGTGTTTTTTACACTGTTTAACGTTGAAAGAAATGACTTCAATCTAGTGGTGTTACTTTGAACTCATCTGATTAACCACCGTCATCATGAGGGTCATTCGTTTGGATAGCCATTGTTTAGAGTTACCTATATATCTACTAAAAGGTTGTATCGCCTTATTGGCCTTATTGATATTAAGTTTAAGAAAATGAAATTAATGTGGAGTAATTTTGGATAGTCACCCCTGTTTTGATGGATATTGTAGTTTGCGAAGACCCAGATTATGACACGCTCTGAAAGCATGAATAGAGGGGATGATTTGAAGCTTGTAGAAACTCATTATCATATAACACTTTTATTCCCTGTAGTTCTGAGCAGAACATACAGCCCCAACAACACATTTCCACTTCCCTATGTTATCTGCTATTTTTTTGACTGACTTGACGATCGCTCACAAGCATTCACGCCCCCACCCCACCCCCACCTTATATATTCTTCTCCGTATCACTCTCTGATGCCCGATTAGTCGCTTCGAATTCAGGTCTCATTCATGGGCCTGGTACTTGATGTCCCTCAATAGTATCACTCACTATACTCTTATAAATTAATTTAGGGACCATATTAGTTCTACTTAAGAATTCAGTCGATTACCCTCAACAGTGTGTTGGTGGCACAGCGGTTAGGATGCTCGCCGACCATGCACATGGTCCGGGGTTCGATCCCCGGCCACTGACGCACTCCTTTACCTCGCTAAGCCAGAAAAATCCTGGTAAGGAGGAAAGCTTGGACATGAGGCTAGCAATTCCATCACGTAAAAATAAACAACACTGCTACAGAAACTTCAAATCTCTAACTTGAGCCCTATGTTCCACTGGGAACGTGAAGGAAAAAAAGAACACACGCCTATATATTTGGCTGGGAAACTGTTAGTAGAAATAAAAGCATCACACTGGAGTAATTCTGTCGTACTAATCTTGTCAAAATACTCTCAAGGTGTGTGTGTATGTGTGTGTGTGAGAGAGAGAGAGCAGAGAGGCACTCATATATATAACCAAGAGAAACATTAACATGTAGGTTAGCACACAATACATACATAAGCACTTAAGAGTTATATTCAACTTCTTTATCGATTGCATATTGCCTGATAGATTATATATATATGCACTCATATTCACAACGAAATAACTTTCAAAAGACATTTTGGCAACAGTTAAAATGCGGGTAATACTGACCCTGTAAATTTACTCAAAAATCAACACCATTTTTGACATGATGTTGTTTTCACTCATTATCATTCAAATATTTGAAATGCTCAACAAATACATCTTATCATTCATTGTTCTATGTGTACAGTTAATTATTTATTTATTTCTTTAAAAATTTTGATATTATGAACACGAAGTGATCATCACGCTAGTGTTAAATTATTATCACTAGGTTAGGTAGTTAACAGACACTAAACAAAACAAAACTAAAACAAAAATTATTGTACATTGAACTGAGATAACTTTTGTTTATTTTGTTTTTTTTAATGTATATTTTACAGGGGTTAACTACATTTCGTCATTATCTTCTTCTTCTTTTTTGTCACTTGTTCTACCGACAATTATTTTATTTATATTAGTATTGTATTCACTTTTGTTTTAAAAAGGTGAACAACCAAAAAGTGCGCCAAAAACTTGTTTAAATTTATTATTATTACTACTGCTCACTACATGGTAGGTTTCTCTCTCCCTCTCTCGGTGTCTTATTTTCTTAAACAGAAAGAACTTCAAAGGAGTTAGTTATACTGATGAATAAAATGATTTATGTAGGCCCACGAGATAATGACTGCTTCTCAGTCAACACAACACAGCGATATAAATAAATAAATAAGAGAACAATGAACCGAATAAGGCACATATATCATTGAAGTACTGGGTACTGTATTTGTGTGTGTATGAGTGTGTGTGTGTTTTAACAGTTAAAGTTTCATTTTGTACTCACCTTTAACTTTTAAAGGTAGTCTACAAAATAGTATCTAAGCTTAGGTGACCATTATGTTTAGTTTAGCAAATGAAACATATAGATCAACACTTCACGTCTTTTTCAAGGCAGATGTGGTTTTAGGAACCGACACTGAAATCCTAAAGAACATCTGACAATCACATTTCACCTTGCCTGACACTAATCAGTGGTGTACATTCATGACAAATGTTAGATTTCTCAGGATAGTGTTTTTTTCACTGACTGTCTATTTCGGGGGGGGGTGGAATAACGTCTTCTTATTGTAATCTGAAGGTTCTGGGTCTGACTCATTATCATTAATATTATTGTTCCCTTGGGTTCCTAGTGGAATATAGGGCTTCAACTACACCTCTCCACTTGCTTCTGTCTTCCTTCTGCTGTACTTTTCACCTGAATCCATCCATGTTAGTCCATACTGTTCCAACAAACTCCTCTTCATACGATCTCCTCCATGTCAGCCACCCTTGCACTGACGTCTCACTCTCCGTGTCCTTCCCTTTCGGCCTGGTTCCACTCCAGCAATGGCCTGACGCGCGCGCCATGTCACCCAGTGGCGGCCTCCTCAGCGAGTGAGTGTCCAATTCATCCATCTCCACTCTCTCCTGCATATTTGTTGGTTGGCGATTGCTTTGTTCTTGTTTTGTGTGTTTGTTCCAACCATAGTTTCTTGTTGTGATTCTTTCCGCCGGCCCAGCCATCTGATCTTCAGTATAGATCCAGCGAAGACAGTTGTTGTTGATAAAGGTCTGCACCGCAACAGGCTGTTGGTTGGAAATATTCTTTGTGACCGCACCCCGCCAAGTTTCTCATCCGTATAGAAGAACTGACTGACTTGACCACGTTTGTATTGAAAATCCGACGGAATTTCGTTGTTGATGCTGGCTGAGTGACGAAGATTGGTTTCCAGATTGGTTTCAGGTTGATGAATGTGTTTCTCGCTCGATTTGACATCCTCGTCCGTTCCGACTGCTCCCTAGATAAGTGAATGAGGGTCTACTCATTGTAGGATCTTATTATATGCATACTAGTTTACAAGGTTCTTGAATAAATTTCAGTAAATTTAACACCTGAATATGTCTTTTCGTGTAAAGACTGTTTAGTAATAACTGAAACCTACTTCCAACCAACCAGTTGGAAGTCAGTCTGAACAGGAACAATAAACTCACCAAAGCCCTCGAATTCTCAACCAAAATTGCATTTACAAAACAATATTATATTACTTAGACAATCAAAAAAAAGGTACAATTAATATGCTAAACTTACGTAGCCATGTTTATCAGAAATATTGTTAGTCAGTTTAAGTTTATGAAATGAGATAATCTTTTGCATCCATTGTTCACCAGTTGACGGAGAATCTGGATGTATGTACATACGTTTAGGCATTTCAGGATCTGCTTTACCAGCAACTGTCCATAAATTATTTTGAAATTTGTATCTACAATCATCTAAGGCTACAATATCCATTAAAACAATATATTTGGCGCGTTTCTCTAAACCAGTAATTTTCACTTTGAATGGCGGGAACATTCGTCTGTATCAAGAGGAGAAGAAAAAAGCGAAATAGAATAAATTAACAATAACTAAAGATATTATTCAATGAGGTAAGAAACAGCCTAGGTGACTAAATTGTCTAACTCTATTATGAAGCTTAATTGGTGTTTGGTGACTAACAATAAAATCTAGGATGCGCATTTCGCCTGTCCTATTTGGGACTCGTCCGCCAGCTGGATATGCCTGCATTCCTCGGTGAGTGACGATGTTCCCGCCGAGACTCGAAACCAGTGCCTATAGTTTCAGATGCCAAAGCGTTATCCACTAGACCACTTGGGCCACCACTTGGGAATGCAGGTACATCCACTGGCTGGCGAGTCCCAAATAGGCCGAAATGCGCATCCTGGATACCACTGCTAGTCACCTTACACCAGTTAAATTCTAATTACATGCCCAGACATCGTCGAAGCATCTGCACAAGAAGCCGAGCATTTTGATCCAATCAATCGACGGGGAAATCTAAAATTCAATTAAATAACTATTATGGAGCTGTTTGATGTGGAACTTTGTCAACAGTTTTTTCAATAATTTGGGTATCAAGTTTAAACTGAGGCTTGGTAGAAATTTCTGTGCTTTTCTACAAACACAGAGCTCATAAACCTGAAGAATTTTCATTCCTTCTATTTAGTCAGTAATGACAGATGACACAGACAATACAACTTTTTTATTGATTGTATTGCATTCCTCTGACCCAGACTTACAACCGGTTAGGCAAGATTTTAGGAGTTCTTCTACCAGGAATCGAGCTTAGACCACTTGCGTGGTTGACAAGCACTTTGCTAATGAACCACCGAGGATTAAAAAGTAAGGACTGTCAATGCTCCGGTGTTTATTACTCGTAAAATACTGCTCCCAGAACTCCAAGTTAGGAAGAAAGTGCATCCAGTTGAAGTGACTTACACAGAGTGAATCTTAGAGTCAACGTAATCACAACCAAGGAAAGATTTAATCACTCCGTGATAACTTCCCATTCAATTGAAAATATTGTCATTTCACAAGAATTATTATTCCAAAAGTACTACCACACTATGAGCAAACACTTCCCTCCTTAGCTGAGACTTACTGTCAACATCTAAATAATCTTTTGTACAAAAAATAACCCAGAAATAATATTCATTTTCCACGACCGTGAGGCTAAAATACCCACCAATAACACTGGCAGGTGTGGAGTACTAATAAGTTAGAGTTGAGGTGGGTGGAACTGGTTCCTTTTACCCAGTGGTGAAATGGCATAACTAGATGATCGCCAGTTCGACCTCTGATGAGTGGATACTGATGAAGAGTGACAGATAAACTAGGATGAAACAACTGTCCAGTACTCCCTACCGGTTTTTCTCCAATGGTTCTCTAACTAATATCGAAAGCCTACATGGAAAGAACAATACTTACATCTCAATAGCTTTTGTCGAAATAGCTTTAAGTACGGACTAGTCAAGACTCTGTACTCTGTAGAGAGCGAAGAGAACATGCTCTATAGGGAAATTAGAGGAAGAATTTGAGTTTCTTGAAAAGATATTGAAGAGCAGTGGGTACCCTAAAAGGTTCATCAACAAGTATGGAAGATCTGAAGTCACAAATGTAAAATAAATCACAGTGGGTAAAAAGCCAATTTACATTCAACTTGATTTTAAAGGTGAAAATATTACAGCAATTGTCAACAGAAGATTGAGAACGTCACTAGCCAGAGCCAATCCTGCAGCTAAGTTGGTTCCCGTCTGTCGAACAACCTCCTCTTTGGTGCAATCAAAAATCGATAGATATCATTCTCATGTTGACAACTCCAACTGTGTATACATATTTACATGTACCTGAGGGAGCAGTTATATTGGAAGGACAGAACGAAGAAGGGCATATCTACGATTTTCTGAACCAAAAAGCTTATGTCTACAGCTGGGAACAAATGCTTTAAACAGTGCCATCGCCAACCATCGCCTTGACACGGGTCATGAGTTGAATGTCGAAAAGTCGTTCAAAATTATCAATAGGCGATAAAGGAGCTCAATTCTCCTCAAGTTTGCTGAAGCCATTTCCATCAAGCGCCTGAAACCTGATTTACGCCTCCAGAAAGAAGCGGATATCAGTCTTTGTTTCCTCTGCCTGTTAACTGGATATTTTCATCCTCTTTCATCTGAATGCGAAATGCTGATATGTTTCTATTGTGTATGATCATTATTGTTCGGAATAATGCTTAATATTATATATATATATATATATATATATATATATATATATATATATATATATATATATATATATATATATATATATATGTTAAGATTGCTTTTGTAAATATATTTAATAATGTCTTTGGCCTGTAAGCAGCTGACGAGAAGGCAACGAAATAAACACTGATGGTACCACTTTATTCTGCTAAAACTATAGTTCTTGCTTTGTTTAAATTAATTAAGGGCAATAAATGTATATAATATCAATCAGTGATCAAATTCGACAATATTCACTTGCCGAAACGGATACATAGAAAGGGGAAATTACAAAAAATTATCGTTTTTATTCAAATTAATTACTTTGTATAATTAGATTTTTATTTTGAGTATCATAAAGTTTAGCCAGATGAAATGTAATTTAGAGAAAATAAAAGCGATAGAAGATATGTATCTATCTATCTCATGAATTTCAAATTCCCCGGGAAATACTTTGACTTTCTTCACAGGACATAAGTGATTTCAACTGATTCAATTAAGAATTGAATCAGTTGAAATCACTTATCCCAAGTTTGTTTTTATCGTTTTTGTTTTTGCTTTTTGTTGTTGTTGATAACTCACCATTTGGGAAGTTTATACTTTCATCCATTCATCCATGTGTCCATTTTTTGTTTTGCTTGATTTTTGCTGATGTATGTGAAAAGTTTTGTTCCCTCCCAACAACAACAAAAGCGTCTAATGAAAGTTCTAATCGGTTACCAGATTCTCTTCTCTTTTCATAATGTACACCACACCCTAGATCATTATTGTCTGCGGATACGTTTTCGTTATGGAAACTGATTTTATTCTTATTATTATTGCTATTTTGTGAGGTAGAATATACCCCATATACTCTGCATTTCCCTATATATCTAATTCTCTTTTTCAGGATAACGTCGAATACAATTTGAATTCATTGCATAAATGGACATATATACGTATATATAACTGTCTAAGGTTACCTATTTGATGGATAGATAACTCAACTAAAGAGTAATTAATATTCATACAGCTAAACTGTGAGAAAAATACACCATAAGGTGAAAGAATAAACAGAGATTATTAATATAACGTGTGGGAAGGGATTTAAACGGAAGCACTAAGTAGTATATTTTGTGGTATCATAATTTTTCTTTTTCATAACTTACATACAACATTATTCCCTTTTTTTAAGAGTTCATTATTCCATTAGGAATATGACATTCAGAAATTAATGCATGAAACACGAAAGTGATAATGGAAATTTCTACACTTTTCTATCGTTCGTTTCTCTCTCTCTCCTTTCTCGCTTTCGCGCGCGCGCCCTTTCATTTTAAATAAACAATACTAGATAGAACTTTGTTGTTTAAGTGAGTGTATAAATATTTAACCCGCATTATTCAAACTTTTTTTTCGGGGATTGTGATGCCTACTGTTTGTTTAATTCATCTCATCAAATAGATTCTACGGATTTTTCGTGTCATTCTCATATCTCTCATTCCTTTCTCTAAGGGATATATGCATCACTTAAATGCTTCATCACATTATCCTATGTCTATCAAAATAAACTTTGCACCGATTACTACAGTTTGATTAATTTATGCGCGATATGTATTATAAACTGGTGGATATAATACACACTAGAAGAAGTCTCTCTCTCTCTCCCGTTTATCCATCGAATAGATAAATAAACTAAGTATAAAAAACCGTTAAAATAATAGTATCCTCTCTCTCTTATATAGATACACATATTTTATTATCTTTAATGGGCGTCACTAATTCTATGCTAGAACAATTTATTATTTTTTTCTCTACTGCTTTGTTCAAACTCGGTTTATTATTTATGCCTCATTTTGTGTTTGTATATCTATCTGGTTACCACACTTAAATGAAGCCTTCTTTCTGCTTGGTTTTTGTGTATGTCCGTGTGTGTGTGTGTGTGTGGCTGTTCATTTCAGGCATATTTCTATGGCCATCCTTCAATTATGCGTTTAGTAACAAGGGTACTAGGTATCGGTAAATAGAAGTAACTATTTTTGTCCTCTCCCTTTTAACAAATCATGAAGGCGTTCATCGCCTCTGATATCTATACATAGGGAGTAATAATGGTAGTTGCTGTTATAATACCATCAGACTGTGAGAATGAGTTTTGATTAAAACATAGTTTTAAAGTTAATACTTTTGTATAGAAGACTAATAATCATTCGAATAATTAGTGTGGCTCACAAGGGCAGTGATTTTATCGTTCAACAATATTCCTAAACTTAAGACATCTATTATTTATTATTATCATTTATTTTGTTCCTTCACGTTCCCAGTGGGACATAGGGCTTCAAGCTAGAGGCGGCTTGAAGTTTCCCTTAGCATTGATGTTTAGTTCCACAGGGTGGGTAGGATTGCTAGTCTCATGTCCCCTAACCTTCTCTCTTTAGCGGTCTCTCTGGGATTGAACCCCAGACCACCCGTGTGGTTGACCATGATGTGCCACCTATGCACAAGTATACCTATGTGATGAGAGCTGGCTGTTAGTCAAAACTGGTGGACAGTAATTTACGTCAATGTTTATGTCCCCAATATTGGTCGTGAGAAAAATGAGAACAAAGACTTTGCGTAGTTGGATACAGTTAACATATAGATGATCTAACATTCAAGGAACAGCCACAAAGAGATGCAAGGTTAACTTTCTGTAAGAAACAAGCAATCAGGAGAATGTGTTTTTCTGCTAACAATAATCTATAATAATGTACATGAAAATCTATAAATATGTGTTGATTTCCTTAATAAACGATCTGTTGCGTGA